ACTACGATTGCATCGACGACCCGTCCAAAGTCAAGGTTGACACCGATGATTCCATCATAACACTATATGTTCAACATCCGCCACTGCTCAAAGCGCCCCAAGATCAGCGTCTGGTCCAGGTTAAGCCCATGTATCTTACCACTAAAGAAACACAGAAGCTACGTAGGATGCGCCGTGCTGCAGACCTCAAAGAACACCAGGCTAAAATTCGTCTTGGTTTGGAACCGCCTCCACCACCCAAGGTCAAGCGTGGAAACATGATGCGTGTCATGGGAGAGCAGGCCATTGCAGACCCTACGGCTGTTGAGATGCTCGTCGAATCGCAGATCCAGCAGCGTCATGACGACCACGTTACAGCAAATGAAGAGCGCAAGTTGACCAAAGAAGAAAGACAAGCGAAGCTTGCTGCGAACCAAGAAAAGGATGCGCAAAAGGGACTATATATGTGTGTCTTCAAAGTCAATACTCTGGCATATGGCAAGCACCGCTTCCAGATTGACAGCAACGCCAAGGAGCATGCCCTTACTGGAATTACACTGTTCAATCCCGATCTGAATCTGGTCGTAGTTGAAGGAGGCGCATATGCAATCAACAAGTACAAGAAGCTCATGCTCCAGCGTATCAAGTGGCACGAGAATGGTCCACCCACAGAGAACCAGATGGAGAAGCAAGCTTCGGATCCGCAATGGCTGAGACCGCTCACCGACGCCGGGGATATCAAGGACCACTCGTCCAACAAGTGTACGCTCATCTTCGAGGGCGAGATCAAGGAGCGATCTTTCCGAAAGTGGGGCTCAAGGGTATGCGAGACCGCTGGTGAAGCTCGCGAGACACTTGGCCGCGCCAAGCTCGACAGCTTGTGGGCGCTTGCTAAAAGCATCGAATGATCGCAGTCTGAGACGAGACATCAGACGACCAGACTGAGTGTCTGACCAAGTTCACACAGCATGTGGTGTTAGAGGCTTTATTTTTGCTCGGGAAAAGGCAACCCGGGCGTCTGATATACGGAGCATCATCTTCTTCCTCCTTCCAAAATGTAAGTTTTACTCATAACCTCCGATAGGATATTTTGGAATCTATGTATTAATGCAACTCTTTCTTTTCTAGAGCAGCATAGTAAGTGATGTCTATATGCAGCGCCCGAATGCCTCTACTGTAAAGAGATTCTGGATCCTTTTTTCCACCAGAGCCCACATGCGACTAGGACGACATGCTGAAATACCGGGAACATTGAATGCACGAGGAGAAACATGTGCTAATCATGACGTGAATCTCTCTAGATATGTGGTAGGTACAAGACCTTTTGCACCCTGTATTGCCAATGACTTCATTTCTGGCTTCTCTGAGGTATCTAAATCCGATCCCTCGATTGTTTCTCTCTCCCTTTTTCCAACTCCAAAAGAGAAGTTGGTGCAGACTCGAAGAAAACTACACAGCTAGTTTTTTTAAAAAAAATACTGAAGTATCATATAACAAATTCGAATCCAAAATAATACCCAAACCCATAACACAACTTGTCTACCGTGATCGCAATCAGGAAAACTGTCAAAGTCTTAACCACAAATCTAATATTCTCAATCTCAAATTCCACTTCAAAATCTATATACATCGAAAGGAAAAAAAACCCCTCAGAGAGATTGAACAAAAGAGACAAGCAAAACAAAAACAAAAACAAAGGAGCAGAGGTGGGGAGGGGGAGGCTAAATACACACAAACATATGACAGACCTCTCTCAAAGTCCGGATAAAACGTTACGCTATGAAAAAAACAAAAGAACCAAGGAACAAAGAAAAAAAAAGAGACAACTCAAGCCATCAGCTCTATACACACAGACTCCCTCTCTCTATCTCTCACACCTCTCATCTCTGTCCCCTTCTGATTACTTCGATTAACCTCCCCCTTATCCCCTTAACTCTACACCAGACCCCCTCTTCATACACACTCACATCCCCCCACTCTACGCCGCTCAAACCCCCAAATAAGTCCCACTCATAATCTTCTTAACCGCAGTGACAGGTTTCCACTCAACCACGGGACTAGCCGGCACATTCTCGGTCTCCTCGGCATCCGCAAACGGATCATCCTCAACATCATCCTTCTTCGGCGCAACCACACTCTGGCTCATACTGACATTAAGTCCACTGCCCATAGCCAAACACGACTCGTCGCTGATTTCCCAGCGGGCCTCGGTGTTGCCGGGGTTAGCCTGGCCGTCGGTGAAGAAGCGGGCGCGGACGGCGTGGGCGGGAGCGTCTTTGGCGAGGGTGACGTCACCGAGGCGCCAGTAGATGAGGGCTTTGTCGCGGGAGAAGGTACCTGTGGGTTTGGATTGGCAGGCGGTGGTTTTGGAGCCGGGCTCGAGGCGGATGACGAGGACGAGGTTGCGGACTGTGACGCTTGTTGCAGAGCCAAGTTCGAATTTGGGGTTGAGAGAGTAGTTGAGGAGGACAGACATTTGTGTGGGCTCTGGTTTCCAGACGGGAGTGAGGATGATGGGGGGCAGAAAGGTAATGTTGCTGTCTTCGATGTGGAGTTGGTAGTGGAATGCTACGGAAGTCTTTGTAATCTTTGATAGGTCCACAGTGTAGTTGCCTGGGTTATCTGGTGCCTGTTCTATAAAGGCAGGGTTGGGCGCTACCTTTTCAAGCACAGAAAAGTTGTCTAGTCGTATACTCTCTGTGCCAAAGGGGCCGGCGGAAATATCAATAGGATTGTATGCAAGCGCAACCTGCCCGATTACCATTGCCTTGGTGACATTACCCTGCTCAAACCAAGCGCTGACAGTCTCCACTAGTGACGCATTGAGCCCTGGTTCATGCAGGTCCGGATGCTTTACCGTGGTACTAGCGGAGCTACTTAGCGATCGGCCCGATCGGATAGACTGGGTATCTGAGTGGGCATGGTCGTCTGACAACAACGAGCGATGCGGAGGTTTGAATGCTGGAGACGAGGGCTGTGGTGGCGGAAGAGGAGGAGCAAAGGTTGCAGAGGTAGGTCCAGAAGCTGGGGCGGAATCACCGCCTGAAAGTGGTGGCAATTCACCTATGCTTTGAAGTTCTGGTGTTGCCGGACTAGGAACAAAAATCGTGTTGCGGACATCTCGTCGCCCTCGCAGTGTGCTTGATCGCTTGGGTTGTGCGGCCTGCTGCACTGGCGTTAGTGCTGGTTGGTTTGATATATTCAGAAGTACTTACTGCACGCAACGTGTTGACGAGGTTGGCGGTAGCTGCATCGGCGTCGCCATCCTCTTCTTGGATTGGGGCGTTTCTAATATCGAGCTTGAATTGAGGAGGTGGGTTTCCTTCGCTTTGCACACTAGTCTTTATTAGCCTTGTCAGGGTCTCAAATGCATGCTGTACTTACAATCCGGCCTCCCTTTCTGCTTCTGTAATGGCATCAAGAGCAGATGGTGGTACAGAGTAGCCTTCAGCGTCTTTCCCTGGTTCTGTATGTGTTTCCGTGGTGGCAGGTGCTGGTACAGGCTCATTGAGCTCCGGTATCGGCTCTTGTACAGATGACGTTCCATTGATAGCATTGGGGGCTTCTGTCTCCTTCTCCACCTCGGATGACTTGGGTGCAGTGCCGTTGGGAGCGGGTTCGGAACTGGTTTGTTGGGCGAGGTTCGGAGTATCCGATTCTTGGGAAGTGCTGGGTCGCTGAGAGTTCCTCAACGGTGATGTTGGACGTTCGGCCATTGGAGGCAAAGCAGGGATCTGGTTGTCGCGGTCTTTGGATTTCCCCTTGCCAAATCCACTAAAAGCTGAACCAATGTTTGCTGATGATTTCCGGTCTGGTGACGCCGCGCGTCCATATGGGTGCGTGCTCTGTCTCCGCCGGCCCAGAACTGTACCGATTCGCTTCAGAGGGTTGGAGCTTTGTTTGTCTTGCGCCGACGCGCTCTTCTGGCTCCTGTTGTCGTCTGCTCCGGGAGGGGAGGATGGCAAAGCAGGTGGTGCTAGGCTCCTTGCTGGTGTTGGAGTATTACTCGGTTTCCGCGAAGGGGGACGGGCATCTCCGCTGCGCATCCTCAGCGCCCACATTTGAATCTCGTCGGCGGTTTCGATATTGAGCATGGCATTGAGCGTCTCCTCAGCCGAAGACCTGCTGCGCTCGACCTGGTCCACCTCGTGCGTCTGGAACTGGGTAAGAACATCGCGGAGATGGTTCAGCCGGGTTTCGTCAATGGCCTGTAGCTGCTCGAAAACGTAGGGCGCCTGCGAGTCCCACTGCAACTCGGCCTTTTCAATATCCTGCACGGCGTCGGCAACGGCAGACGCTTTGGCCTTTGATCCCTTATCACGAAGTTTAGCCTGCTTCTTCTGGGCCGAGTCAATGTCCTTGGCAATAGCCGCGAGGTTGCCCTGGATGTTGGCCATGGCCTGGATTTCGCGGTTGTTGCTGGTGAAGTCGCGGAGGGGTCGCTCGACGTCAGCCTCGATCTTGGCGGCGAGGTGGGCGTGGGAGTGGGCGACATTCTCGGTCGCGATGACGATCCTCTCCCATGGGGTCGCAAAGATGCTGCCTGTCGGTCAATTCATGCGCAGAGGAGCGGATGGTGGGGGAAGCGTACCCGAGATCTGACGAGTCGTCGGGAGGGTGTCTGTTTGCGAGCTTGCGCAGGCCTTGGACATACTGCTCTTCTACGCGACGGCGTTCCTGGGCTTGTGGTGAGTCGTGAGTCGTGTGCGGGTAGCCGGGGCCCAACCCACCTGCAGCCAGTCGGCAATGTGCGTGTTCAATTGGCCTACATGCTTGATGCGACTGTCGAGTACGGCCACGGCTTGCGCGGGAGAGAGCGATGTCTGGGGATCGAGTGAGCGGATGCTGAGAGCCTGACGGGCCTTGGGGGGAGTGCTCTTACCAGCAATGCTGGGTATTCTTTGCGTTGGAGCTCCATGGCGTCGAGGAGGGGGCACAGGCGCGCAGCCGGGAAGCAGCGGAGCAGCGGAGCTTACATGTACTCCAAGCCGTCGCAGCTTGTCAAAGTGTCGTGAGAGCGGATGCGGCTACGACTGCGCTGGCCGTGGTGGCTTGGGACTCTGCGCTTTGGGCCTAGTCGCCCAAGGCCGCGGTTGCGCCGGGGCTCTGACGTAACCTTGGAAACGATTCATTCACCCACGCGCACACATGCATACATGCACACACACACACACCCACCCATCCCCCAGCTCCAGCACGGCCGGCCCTTCCGCCGGCCACAAGACGAGACGCCTTGTATTCATCCTGACACTCGTTTGCGGCACCATGGCTGAATCTTCTCTCTCAATCAAGGCTGCGCTGCCTACACCGCTCAGTCTCTGCGGGTCCCAGCAGCACACAGTTGGGTACCATTGATGCCCTTGTTCGGCCCATCTCGTGCCTGCCACCACTACTAATACTGTACTATTACTCGTACAATTTCTACTACTATCACCACTACTGCTACTACTACAACAACAATTACTACTACTACTACTACTACTACTTAATACCACCACCATCTCCCTTTCTGCTGCGTGATACCCATCTATCTCTCTTCGCATTCCTCCCAACACATGGCTTCGTCCGACTGGCGATCGCGCCTCGGCTTTTCGACGCGCTTGTTGGCTGTCACTAAAATGCAGGTAACATGTCTCCATTGTCGCGCTAGGCAATCCTGCTGGGACACTTAAGCTATTGCTCGGCAGGGCCTGACCCTGATCCATATCTCGATGCTTGGATGCACACTCTCTCCTGCTATTTGCTGAGAAATTGCACGCCTTTGCTTGCCGGCCTCACGCCAGAGTTCGACCTTTTCTTGTCGCCATAGCTAATCCCGTGCCAGAACATCTGCCTACCAATCGTCCAACCCATCGCTATCCGCAGCCGATGCTCGTAAAGAAGCGACTAGGGACGAGGCAGCCTTTTACGATGCAGCGCACTCCTTGGTAGCAACTATGTCTTTGCATCTCGAGGTTAAATTTCTAATGCTTTTCCAGGACGACTATGACCGGCAGTGCAATGACAAGGTGATGTGCCTTCCGCGGCCATCACTAGAGTTTCCCACACCAGAGGTTGCATCGCACGTCACAATCATCCCAACATTGCACTAACTCTTACGATAGGACGAAGACTATGTCCCAACTCCAGGCGGCAAGCCCATTGGGAAATATCACAATGCCGTCTACCACCGTGAAGGCCTCTTTTCTGTTGTCTACAAAGCACCCGCATTGGGCAATGACGGCTTCTTCCCAGTAGACTCGCCTGCAAAGAGCAGACTGGTCGCGCTCAAAATCACGACGCCTTCAGTCATGGAACCACCCCACGACTCGAAACGGGAAGCCAGCATCCTCAGCCTCGCAGCCTCAGACCGCATCATCCCGCTATTGGACACTTTCCGTGAGAACGGAAGTCAGTTTGTCCTCGTCTTTCCTTTTATGCGCTACGACTTTAGTGATCTGCTAGGTGACAAGAAGCTGTCAAAGAGTCAAATCAAGGCGTGCATCAAGGACCTCTTTACTGGCCTAACCTTCATTCACAGCAAAGGCATTATTCATCGCGACGTCAAACCTTCCAACATTCTTCTCAAGTCTCTAGACGGCCCTGCATATCTGTCTGATTTTGGCATTGCTTGGGCGCCTGGAGTGCCGGGCGCAGAACCGGCAGACTCGAAAATCACCGACGTTGGCACCACCTGCTACCGCCCCCCAGAACTTTTGTTTGGTAATCAAAAGTATGATTGTAGCCTGGACCTATGGGCTGCTGGCTGCACGGTGGCGGAAGCACTCACTCCTGGCCACGAGACACTGTTCGATTCTGGGGAGTTGGGAAGTGACTTGGCGTTGATCCAAAGCGTGTTTAAGAAGCTGGGAACACCAAATTTGGATGTTTGGCCAGTAAGTCCGCATATGGTTACAATCACCAAGGCTTTTACTGATTATAGCAGGAAGCAGCAGGTTTCCGCGACTGGGGCAAGGTGCAGTTCTACGAGTACCCAGCAAAAGAGTGGTCTCAGTTGTTACCTGACCTCTCTGAAGCAGAACGCGACCTTGTAGCCAGTCTGGTCAGGTACGAGAGTGGTACAAGGATGAGCGCATCAAAGGTACGTCTGGTAGATCGATCATGCGAGCAAAGCTAAATTCTGGATTCCAGGTTCCCGAGCATGCATATTTTGCGAATTGAAAGTACCTATACAAAGTGCGCAAGGCATACACGTGACATAGCTAATGGGTGGGAATCGTGCGGGAGAATTCCGCATGTACGAGGCAATTACCGCAGCTTCGGTGCTAAGACGAGGTCATACTACGTCATTACATAGAAATAGTCAAAAGTTTCAGGCGATGCAATCAGTGCCCCTCTGCAGCCGCGCGCCGTATCATGCTGGATTCGATTAAAGGGCAGTGAAATGGGTGGGCGAGTGGAAGTACGGACGTGGAAGAAAGTCCGGCAGGCGGGCGCTAGCACTGACTGCAGGGCTGACCCTCGGACCATTCACAAGCAACCGCCAACAGCGTCAGTACAGCAAAACACTGGCAGAACAACAAAGCGTGCTGGCGTCCCCTGCCTACATCAAACTCCCCGCTGTGTCAGGCCAAATTTCATCCGCTCCCGCCTGTATGTCGTCGCCGTCAAGATAGAACCTTCTCGGCCCTGGCCCCAAGTTGCAACCCCACACGTCGTCGCCGCTATCCCACATCGACCCTCGTCCTGGAAAGCCTGGCAGACCGCTCAACATGGCTTTCCTCTTCCGGAACAAACAGAAGAACAATCTTGAGTTGACGAGGTCAATCAAGGAGCTCACACTGCGGCTTGGGCAGGAGGACAAGCCCAATCCCAAGGTGCGACCATGTGGCGGCTTGGAGGTGCCTGCAAAACATGGCTAACACGTGACAGCTGGAGGAGGGTCTTGCGCTCGACCTGCAGCAGATGAAAGTCCGGCTTCAGGGCACGCCTGGTATGGTTCGCCTTTGTGTAGTTGTGCCGTGTGCATGATTGTGTACAGCGCTAACACATGGAACAGATACCGAAGTCAACCCAGAGGCCGTCTTCCAGCTCCTCACAAACATACTCAACGAAGACCTGCTCTACGCCCTAGCTATCAACATACACAAGCTCCCGTTCGAGTCGCGAAAGGACGCACAAGTCATCTTCTCAACCGCATTCCGCTACAAGCCCGCCGGCCAGCCAACCCCGCAAGTCTTGGAGCATGTTGTCGCATACAGGCCGGATATCATAATAGCACTCTGTCGGGGCTACGACAGGCGAGAGAGTGCCATGCCATGTGGCGGAATTCTGCGCGAGGCACTTAAATATGATGCAATTGCTGCGCTGCTTCTCTACGACGAGCCGATGGAGGACGGAAAGACACTTGACCTGGGCAGTGTCAACCCCGATCTACCATCATCCGGCAACGGCGTGTTCTGGAAGTTCTTTGGATGGATAGACAAAGGTGCATTTGAAGTCAGCGCAGACGCATTCAATACGTTCAGGGTAAGACTGGCTGGCATGAGGACCCTTGGACATGTGACTGACCCATTGACAGGAAATTCTTACCAAACATAAACCATTGGTAGCCACATTCCTGCAGACCAATTTTGACGCTTTTTTCTCAAAGTACAACACAATGTTGGTTCAGTCGGAAAGCTATGTAACAAAGCGTCAGTCGATCAAGCTGCTGGGCGAGATTCTGCTGGACCGGGCCAACTATAATGTCATGACGCAATATGTCGACTCTGGCGAGCATCTCAAGATCATCATGAAGCTATTGCGAGACGACAGGAAAATGATCAACTACGAGGGTTTCCACGTCTTCAAGGTGAGCAGTGCCAGGGTTGTAGCTGCTGGGATGCAACGCTTACAATGATAGGTTTTTGTTGCCAACCCCAACAAGTCAGTCGCAGTGCAGCGCATCTTGATTAGCAATCGGGATAAGCTGCTGCGCTTCCTTCCTTCGTTCCTGGAAGACCGAACAGAAGACGAGCAGTTTATCGACGAGAAGAGCTTCTTGATCCGTCAGATTGAGCAGCTGCCGCCAGCGCCAGTTGTGCCGCCTGCAGCCATATAGCCACGGGTGTGCAACGGGCACTAATGTTTACTTTGTTGTTATGTTTTGCATACGATGGCGTTTGAGTTTGGATATCCTTTGGGCATGTATTTCATGGTATGCACAGCATGATTGGCGCACGCTTGGCCTGTAGGCACTGCACTGCACCGCCATGCATGCAAGACGGAATATTTGAAGAACAATGGAAACATTAAGGCATGCTTGCTCAGCACATGTGTATGTGTGTGTGTGTGTGTTGCATTGCTTACTCCATGTTGTTTATTTTTGGAAGGGAAACTGACGCCTGTAACGCATTACATGGAGGTGCGCTTGTTTCAAACAAGTTTTTTTTAATCCCTCTGTTGAAAACAATGGCACGGGCAGGTTTTTTGGGCCGACATGTATTACGCGTGAGTACTGCTCGCGTGCAGTAGCCCGGCGCCCAGCTCGGATCCGCAGCCATGTCTAGAAATCATTCTAGACTCTACCTAGACCACAACCGTCACATGACGCAGTAGATCGTCTCCCGCGTGCTTCCCCGCCAATGCAGTCATGGCGTGTACGGTAGGATGACACGTGGTGGTGATTGGCCGTCATCCTGCCGCACCACGCCTGCCCCGGTGTCTGTGGGCTGCAATTTGCGGCGCTGCAGCAATAGGGAGGCGGTCGGACTTGTAGCAGACGGCCGAATGTTGTACACAACGGTACGCGTGTACTGTACGGGTGAATGTGTATCTGGTATACAAGTCGCGTACCTGCATTGTTTCTGTTGCTCTGAAGCATCTCCTTGACGCACCGCCCCGCACCAGCCCCTGATGCTAGCCCGTGGCCCCCGAGCTGGAAACTAGAGCCTCTCCTGTCCTTGGCGGTGAAGGGCCAAGGCGAATCAGCACAACGCCGCCTCGCAGCATGACTTCAGAGCAGACCCGCATCACTCGCTGGCTGCAGCTACAAGACTCGGTTGCACCACAAGGCCCGCTGCTTAGTCCGGGGAACGAGTTCCCGCTGAGGACCCTGCCCTCCCTTCCTTCCAACAGCTCCCTCTCCGACATCGATTCGGATGAAGGCCCCAGGCTTCCCCAACGCACCCAAATCGCCACGCTTATCCACCCACCCGTCCCTACCATGACGGATGACCACGCCGCTGCTCGACGACGCTCCTCCTCCCTCGCCGGCGCCAGCCTACCCACCAGAACAGACTCCAAGAAGCACCGCCGCCGTCCTTCGGACCACATTGCCGAAGAAGGCCCAGAGTCGTCGGGCGCAGACCGCTCAGACTCAGACTCCCAGAGTGACAGCGACGAACACGACAGCGACGACATGAGTGCAGACGGACTCGAGGACGACGAGGAGACGGGCCTCACCAAGAGAGACAGGCGCAGGCGCCGGAGAAGAAAGAGGAGGAATACCCTGCTCGACCAGCGCATCGCTCCTGACGACACGTACACTAAGGAGGAGAAGAAGATTGCCGACCAGAACCTCCTCAAATCCATGCTCATCAATGGCGTCCTCATTGGTCTATGGTAAGCACGCGACTGCAGCAGATCCACAAGACTGGACCGTAAAACTGACCCTGACCCAGGTACTTCTTCTCCATATCCATTTCCGTCTACAACAAGTGGATGTTCAAGGAGGCCAAGGACGACGGCGAGACCAAGAATATTTTCCCATTTCCTTTGTTCACCACATGCCTGCACATGATTGTGCAGTTTACCCTCGCATCGCTCGTTTTGTTTCTCATACCCTCCTTTCGACCAAGACATGACTCCCTTAACCCGCATGGCGCCAGAGGGCGTGCCGAGCCGCTGGACCCAAAGAAGCCGCTCATGACCAAGTGGTTCTACTTTAGCAGGCTTGGACCCTGTGGTGCAGCCACGGGTATGGACATTGGCTTGGGTAACACGAGCTTGAAGTTCATCTCATTAACCTTTTTCAGTAAGTGCTCGCATGTCACTATTCAGGAAGAAGAGAGAAAAAAAATGGCTAACATGAACAGCAATGTGCAAGTCATCTGCACTAGGCTTTGTCCTTGTCTTCGCATTCCTCTTCCGCCTCGAACAACCGTCATGGAGACTCGTCTTCATCATTCTCATCATGACTGCCGGTGTCGTGATGATGGTAGCTGGTGAAGCTGCCTTTCACACGCTCGGCTTCATTCTCGTCATGGTATCAGCGTGCTCGTCGGGCTTCCGCTGGTCCCTGACCCAGATTCTGCTCTTACGCAACCCCGCCACGGCGAACCCATTTTCCTCCATCTTCTTCCTTGCACCTGTCATGTTCCTCAGCATATTCATTCTCGCGATACCCGTGGAAGGCTTCCCCGCGCTTTTGGAGGGCCTTTCACACCTATTCGAAACAAAGGGTACTGGCCTCGGCATTGGCATTCTTTTATTCCCGGGAGTCCTGGCCTTTCTCATGACCTCATCCGAGTTTGCTCTGCTGAAGCGGACTTCGGTCGTCACCCTTAGCATTTGTGGCATTTTCAAGGAGGTGGTTACCATTGGAACCGCAAATCTCGTTTTCAAGGATCCGCTTACGCCCATCAACCTGACTGGGCTTGTCGTTACTATTGGCAGCATCGCCGCATACAACTACATGAAGTTTAAGAAGATGAGGGAGGAGGCGCTTATGAATGCCCATTTGCAGAACCAGAGCGAGTATGCGGCTGTGAACACAGTAGACCCTCTAGAGCGCGACAGGAGAGGCAGCGTGGTGGTACGACCAGGGCAAAGCATAGTGCGCACCAGCCTTCAGCTTGCCCCTGGTATGAATGGAGCCGCATTAGTGGACAGCCCAGCAAGGACAAGTCCATTGAAGCGGCCAGAGGACCACGAGTAGTAGGCATGCATCTAGCAACCATTGCCAAATCCCTCAGCATAATGCTGAGGGGATTTCATAATTTGTCCCTTTGAACTGCGTCGTTTTTTATATCTTTGTAGCATCAGTGGCGTTTTGCAAGTAATTTGGCGGGTTGGGAGAAGGCGACGACGACGACGACATTCGCTTTGTATCATCAGCATATCGTCTTTGCATGTTGTGCACGTGAGTGCTGTATATGTACACAGTAAATGCCTCGGCGGTATTTCATAACCAATCTACATACTAGCTAAGATGCCAATCCCATTCCGATAGAACCCTAGTGCCCCATGTCGTGCCTCCATGTGTAGTCATTGGGCCCAGCCCCAGCAGCCAATCAGTCCGCCATGCACACCATCGTAATGATCGCCACTTGAGCCGCCACGGGTTCTAGGCGCACCCTTGCCCATTGGACCCTAACACGACCTACCTCACGAGGAGGTGTCATGCACGTCAGGAGCCAGCACACCCACCACAATCAAGTCTGGCGTTGAGCGCCAGTTACCCCCCTTCTGTTGCACGATTCCTTATCTCTTGTTGCTATTGCAGCTGCTGCATCCGAATTGGCAGCGCGCCACACGGACGGTGTTTCACCCTTGACACGTTCACCCGAAGGACCGACCTTATTCAGCATCGATCCGTGGCTTAGAGTGCACAAACATCTCTGCTTACCCATACCTTGTCTTGCCAGCGACGAATAGCTGGCGGCTTTGTGTTTTTTTCTCTTGTCACGGGAAACATCAGCGACCGCCTTGTACTTTGCGAACTGCGCGGCCACCTACCCTCTCTTCTCTACTCTCTTCACTCCCGCCGCTGTCATGCGGCCCCTCGGTGCGCTTCTCGCGCTCCCACTGGCGCTGCTGCCCTCGGTCGCACTGGCGGCAGATCTCAAGATCGAAGTCACACGACCAGTGGAATGCACGCGCAAAACAAAAAATGGAGACAAGGTTTCCATGATGTACAAGGGCACGTTGGTTGACGGCACCAAGTTCGACTCGAGCTATGATTCTGGGAGACCGTTTACGTTTACGATTGGAAGGGGCCAGGTGATCAAGGGCTGGGATCAGGGGCTGCTGGATATGTGTATTGGAGAAGGCAGGAAGTTGACGATACCACCGGAACTGGCATATGGGAACCATGCCATCGATGTCATTCCGGCCGGATCGACACTCGGTACGTTTTATGTGGCTGAGATATTTCTTTTTTTTCATACTCATTCGTTAGAACGATGAGCTAACCAAGGTGCGACCACAGTGTTCGAGACCGAGCTTATGGGCATCGATGGTGTCGAGGCGGAACCTGTAAAGACAGAGCAACCTGCTCAACCCACCGATCCTGCACCAGCGACCACCAGTGCTGCGGTTACAGACGACGAAGCGAACACGAACAACGAAGAAGCTGCGCCCGAGAACGTACACAAGCCCACGTCTGCTGCGCCAGACACGAAGCCTCTGGCGACGGGAGAAGCTGAAAAACAGGCCGCTGCACAAGACAACCCCATGGACGGCGAATCTGGAAATGGCGAGTGCAATCTCCTTGGAGACTTTGCCTTGCTGGTACAAGCAGCTCTAGGACTTCTTGCTGTCTCATCGCTCGCCGTCAAGCGCATGCGCGAACATCCCCGCCGACCGCTCAAGATTTGGTTCTTCGACGTCTCCAAGCAAGTCTTTGGCTCGGTGCTCCTTCATCTCGCAAATATCCTCATGTCGATGCTCTCCTCTGGTAAATTTGACGTAGCCACCGTCTCACCAGCCACTTCTACACACCTAGTCAGCAAAGACAGTGAGGGCGACCAGCCAAACCCATGTTCTTTCTACCTCTTGAACCTCGCCATCGACGTAAGTCCTTCTCCGCTTCCCACACACACACACACCCCCTCTTTATCTCTCCTTCGTAAACTAATCAATAACACCCAGACCACAATCGGCATCCCGATCCTCGTCCTCCTCCTGCGCCTCCTCCACCGCGCCTTCTCCCTCACCCCTCTCGCCAACCCCCCGGAATCCATTCGCTCAGGCAACTACGGCCACCCGCCCCGCGCAACCTGGTGGCTCAAGCAATCCATCATCTACTTCCTCGGCCTCATCGGCATGAAACTCTGCGTCCTCGTCCTCTTCACCCTCGTCCCCTGGATCGCCTGGATCGGCGACTGGGCCCTCCGCTGGACCGAAGGCAACACGGCCCTCCAAATCGCCTTCGTCATGTTCGTCTTCCCCCTCATCATGAACGCCCTGCAGTACTGGATCATCGATAATTTCATCAAGGATCCCGAGGCTGCCGATGGCGAAAACGCGAGGTACGGGGTTGTGCGCGACGAGGACGAGGAGAGCGATAGTGAGGACGAGACTGGGGATTGGGACAGGCAGCGTAGGAGGGAGGCGGGCATCGATGATGAGGCGGAGAGTGAGGCTGAGGAGGCTAAAGAGGCCAGGGTCAGAGCCGCGAGGGTTAGGGGTGAGGAGTATGATCCTGAGATTCATGGGGCAAGTGGGAGTGCGAAGACGAGAACCGATTGAGTCGTGTGTGCGTGCGTGTGTCGGTGTTTGATACGTTTGTTTGGTTTTACGGGGTTGGGGGGTTGGAGGGTTGGAGGGTTATCGTTTTGTACCAAGGTAGAAAGTGGGAATTGTCAGCTTTTCGTTTTTTTTGTTTTTGTTTGGTTTGCTGTGATTAAAAGAGTTGGGAGTGTTTTTTCTTTTGCCCCATGAATCGTTTCGTTCTCGTTATTGTTAGAGAGCCGCTTATTGTGTTTTTTTTTCTTCTTCCTCTTTTCTGTGTGGATAGAGATGGTGGGGTTATATCTTTATTCTCTCGGCATATTCAAGAATAGAGGAGGGGGGGGGGGGGCAAATACATAAAAACCACAAGGGGGGGGGAGTTTATAAATATAAAATCATTTTTTTTGTAAATCTTTATTCATCAAACATTGTATTCTCTTTTTGTTTTGTTTTTAATCAACTAACTTATTCTTCTCTTTTAAATTTTTTTTACATGAGTTCATTGACCCCCTCCCCCCC